CTAGGGCGGGCTCATTTTCTGTCATATCAAGATAGTTGACAAAGCAAAACTCTACAGTTGATCTCTCAACTTCAGTACCACTGACGTTTTGGACCAAATAATTCTTTGCTGTGGGGGCAGTCCGGTGCATTGTAGGATGTTCAGTACCATCCCTGGCCTCTACCCGCTGGATGCCAGTAGCACACTTCTCGATATGACAGCCAAAAAGGTCTCCATTCATTACCATGAGGATATTTATCCCAGGAGGAGCAAAATCACCACCAGTTAAGAATTACTGACTTACATCATGGCCTTGAAACCACTCCAATGGAAAAAGCATTTCTTTTTCCCAATAGTTCCAAGAAGAGTCTTGGAATTGAAATTGTTTCTCTCCCTGACTTTGGTCACATGCCCATCCTTGAACCCATCATTGTAGCCAAAGAAATGGAATGCACTGACTGTCCAGTCTAAGTTAGGTACCCTCGAATTAGGGTAGAATTAGGATTGCTTCAGTCTCACTCCAATCTTTGATGGTTAGGCAGGAGTTGTTACCCAAAGAGAATGCAGGAATTGTGACCACAAGGGAAGAATTATCACGCTGGTCTGGAGGAAGTCTCTTCTAAAGAGTCCTCATTGCTCATCTCACAGGTGCAGTGGTCTGCACTGGGCCCACGTCATCCAATGCCGTGGTAGTCTTCATGTTCTGAGAAAATACAGATATTTCAGTATTTTAATCCATAGAGCAGAGATCCTTAACTGGGGCTGGGTACTCTCTAAGTTGCATAGCATAATTTTTTGCATTTGTGAATTTTTCTGGGGAGATGGCCCATTCCTTTCATCAGTTCTCCAACGTTATCATCACCCTAAAATAATAAAAGCAACATCTCAAGAGATTTGCCTCCTAGTTTCAAGCCTTTTAAAAATGATGAACCAAGTACAGACCTATGAAGAGCCATTTGTGCTTTACTGAATAGTACCCTGAACGCATACCCTAAATCTGTTGATTTGGGCCCAAATAACAGTTCTTTTATGTTAAACTAACTACACACTTGTACATAATGGAATTACAAGTTTAGATAAACCCCAAAGTTCTCTGTGAATATGTTAATAAAAGTTCTCAAATTTCTCTAGTGAAGCCAAGAAATGAAAACTAAATGACACTAACCTTAAGGTTTTTGACTCTCCCCTCACCGGGAGCTCCAGAAGGTGTGATTTCATGCAGAGGGCACCAGTCAGGGAGGTAATGAGCACCTGCGATCCTGCTTCTGTTCAGAAAGGCTGGAGAACTCCAGGGAGGGAGTGGGTCACAGCTGTGGCAGGACCCAAGTCAACACAGCTTCCTTTCGAGAAACAGGATGGCCCCATAGTACCGTCCATGACATGGAGGTCACGGTAGGGTCAGATGCCAATGTGCCACTGGTTTGCATTATGATTTTGAACTCTTGTGCCCACTTGGGCCTGCTCTGTGATACCTTTGGTATCTCTTGGTGAGTGTTTTACACACGGATGTGGTTGACTTCAGAGGGCACGAGGGAGACAGCGTGAGGGACTAGGGTAAAGTCAACACCTGCCCTTTACACTGGCAGGACCAATTCTGTGCCTTCTCCTCTGAGGAAGACCTCTCTCTGTATATCTGAGGACTTGCATTAAAGAGAGTTTAAGTAGGTTTCCCAACACCTCTGTGTCTTTGACAATTATGCCAACATCCCTGTCACTGAATCATGTGGCTTTGTTTCTTCTTTCCCAGCCTCCCAAGATATCCCCTTGTCTTCTTTCTCCCCTCTTCCCTCAGTCCCCCACTCCATCCACTTCCTGGTTCATCTCTCATCCCAGGGATGCGCTGGAGATACATGGACATCCAGAGTTCCTTTCTGACCCAGTTACTCCAAGAACAACCAGACACACTTTTCCTTATATTTCTTGAGTGTTCCAGACACTGTGGAAGGGATGGAGGTGCTGAAGGACTTGAGGTCCCCCTGAGGTTGAAAGCAGCTGTGGGGGAGTAACCAGGCAGAAGTGCAGAAGGGGAGGAAGGGAGGGGCAGCTCTCCCATCTTAGAAGCATTGCTCAGATGGTTTGGTGGGGAAGGATCTGGGTGGGGGGAGATACTGAGTGCATGGTGATGGGAGCAGCTCGTAGGTTTGCAGACTAACTGTCCTGGAGTGCTGGATGGAAGTGAGGCCGTTGCCCTGAGGACAGGACTTGCTGGTGGATGTTCTGGCCAGAATATTGGGAGGTAACAATGAACTTGAGGGCAGAGGAGGCTGACACAGAGGGAGAAGAATGTTGGGCAAATTTCATGCCTTTCACAATAAAATAAAATTTCTGTGACAAAAGCAGTCTCCTAGAGGGAGGAGCTGGCATGAGGCTGGGTCACAATTGCCAAATTGGAGTTGGGCAAGATGAAGCTACCTTTAGGTCAGAATGGGGCCAGATGACTAAGGGGTTGAGCCAGGACAGGGAAAGGCTACTCATCATCAGTTGTAGAGAGTTAAATCTTGGTGTACATGAGAACTAGTCCACTAAGAGTGAATCCAGAGAGATGCTTCCAAGCAGAGGATGGTGACCAAGGATGCAAGTGATGGGAAGGTAAGGCTTCTAGGTAAGGGAGGACCAGAGTGCTGGGGATGAGCCCAGGAAGGCTGGTGAGTCCTTTGGCTGCCACCTCCTCAATGGGCCATGCTGTCTCACCCTCCTCATCTTTACACACATGCTCCCTGCTCTTGAAGTACCCCTGCCCATAGCACCACCTACTTGGTGCTCACTCATCCTTCAAGGACCATCTCAGATCTCCACCTCACACATTTCAGAGTGCCCCAGCTTCAGTCTTCAGAACTCTTATCTTCCACCCCCTCTCTCCGGTTGATCCCTTAAAGCCTCATGACTTTAAGTACCATCTGTATATACTTAGGCTGTAAATGCAAAGAGATGACTCCCAAGTTGTAGCTATAGTTGACATCTTCCATGGGCTCCCGTCTCTACTTGGATCTCTAACGAGAGTCCCGGACAAAATCAAACTCTCTCTCATGCCATACATCAATTCAAATCTGGTTGGCTCTACCTTACAGAAAATGTGCAGAGTCAGCTCACTTTGCATCACTTCCACCTCTGCAGTCTAACACCTCCGCCGGCCCTGTGTCGGGCAGCTCTGCTGATTAGCTAACCTCCCCAAACCTCGGAGCCTTCTGACAACCATCTGCTTTTCATCCTGCTTCGTGTCAGCGGCTGTGTTCAGTTCTTGTGGCTTGCTCTATGTGTGTTCTAGTTGTAGGACATAGGCTGAAGAAGAACCCCTATTTCTCCCTATTTGGGATGTCCGTTCTTACAGAAGAGGAGACAAGAGCAAGAGGCGACCAGGCAATGCTCCTTAAACTTCTACTCAGCTGTGGCTTCTGCTCAAGTCCCTCGAGCCAAAGCAAGTCACGTGGTCAAGTGCACAGTCCACACGGTGGAGGAGCATACTCTGCATGAGGGAGGCAGGCAAGGCCCAGGATGCAAGCTCTTGTGACCGTAAAGGGGCAGTAACACAATCTGTGTTATCCTCTAACTTGTCTTCCAGTTTCTGCTCTCCCACCTGCTCCCCAATTCCCTTCTCAACACAGCAGGTAGAACAATCCTTGTAAAACCTTCATCTGATCATATTACTCTTCTGTTCAAATCCCCCAGTGGTGCCTGGTCCACTCAGGCTAAGTGTAAAAGCCAAAATCCTCCAAGAGATCACAACATCTTGGCCAGACTCTGACCACTTTTGCCACCTCGTCCCCTATGATTGCTGCTCGCTCACTCTACTCCAGGCACACTGACCACCTTGTTGATCCTCAAAACCCATTCCTGCGTCAGGGCCTTTGTACTTTCTGTTCTCTGGGGGCCCAGCTCTAATATCACCGCCTTTGGGTCCGCCCCGCTGAAAATTGCAACCCCATGGGGCACCGGTGCCCACATCCTGCTTTGTTATTTCCTCCATCGCACCTCTCACCACCATCACATTGACTCGTTGGTGTGTTTACGGAGTCTCCCTCACCAAGAAGAAAGTTCGTCTGGGGTGAGGACTCTGGCCTGTTTAGAGCCGTCCTCACAGGGCCCAGAATAGGCCCTGCAGCACGTTCCTCCCCTTTGGCTCCACTCTCCACCCCCACGAGATTTTGGTTTCTCCAGAGCCTTGGCTTCCCCTTCACTTTCATTTCCACCGTCCTTTCCTCCTCGGGAGTCCCTGTCCTGGTCCAGGGCCTGCGTGTGTCGGCAGTGGTGAGAGGGAGCCGGCGCTGGAGCCCTCGGGGAGGAAAGCGAGGCCAGCAGAGGGAAGCTGGAAGGGGCGCCGCGGCTCAGGCAGCAGAGCTTCTCCAGGTGAGGCCTGGCTGGGGCCGAGCACACGGAGGGCAGGCCGGCTCCGGGATGGGCGACCTGTGGGATGGACGGGAGCAGCGCCCTGGCTCTCAGCTCCAGGACGGGGACCAGATCTGAGTGGAGCACTGGGAGGGCCACCGGCGGGGACGCTGACTGGACCCACGGGCTGCTCAGGCCGCGGCGAGGTCTGACCACTGCCCAGCGCCAGGTGCGACTCACACTGATCCCACAGGGTCAGCACCTTTAGACATGGCCTCTCCTTTGCTTGATTCTCTGTTTCATTCTTTTCGTCTTAATTTTTGAGTGAGTAACAAGTTCTCATGGTTCAAAATTGTGAAAATACAAAATAGCTCACTGGGAAAAGCCTTATTCTCTCTTCTCAGGGCACCCTCAACAGAGAACGACTATTGTTCCATTCTTGTGTATCTTTTTATGGTTTGTGTGTGTGTGTGTGTGAGGAAGATTGAACCTGAGCTAATACCTATTGCCAATCTTCCTCTTTTTGCTTGAGGAGGATCATCCCTGAGCTAACATCTGTGCCCATGTTCCTCTATTTTGTATGTAGGACGCCACCACAGCATGGCTTGGTGAACCGTGTGCAAGTCTGCACCTGGGATCTGAACCTACAAACCCCAGGCTGCCAAAGCAGAGTGTGCAAACTTAACCACTATGCCACCAGGCCGGTTCCTCTTTTGATAGTTTTTAAAATGCAAATACAAGAAAATGTGAATATAAACCCCTCCCTTCCTTCACGCTTGGTGTGAAATGTAGCAGAATACGTACCCTGCACACTGCTGTGCATCTTGCTCTTTCCCCTTAAAAATGCCCTCAGAGACTTTCCAGGTCGGTTCAGAGGCAGTGTCCTGGTGCATTTTGGTGGCTGTGTGGTTTTCCAGCGCTTGGATATGCCACATTTTATTTGACTTTTCTCTGTTGATGGATTTTTTGGTTGTTCCCAATCTACTGATTATACTAATAACACTGCCAGGAGTCATCATGGACACACGGGGGAGAATTAGCAGAAGCCAGAGGTGGCACATGGATTCATATTCAAAAGGAGTAGTTTAAAAAATATTTAGAACAGTAGTTTCAACCCTAGATGCATATAAAATCACCTCGGAACGTCTGTACACTACTGACGCCCAGACCCAGTTTCCAGAAATTCTCATTTCACTCAGCTGAGGAGGGGCCGAGGGGTTGGTCCTTTTTAAAAGTATTTTCAGGTCACCCAGTGGATGGCCAGGGCTGGGACCGAGGGTGAAGGGGCCTGGGAGTGCATGGAAAGGAAAATATCTTGGAGGAGTTTGAGGGGGAGAGAGACGAGACTGGAGCGAGAAGAGAGGCTGGGACAGCTGCCGGCTATAAGGGACTTTAGCAAGATGCAGAGTAAGGACATGGTTTTGTTCCTAGTAAATTTAGCTGTGTTGTGATTATGTGGTTCTGCCTCCCCACCTACTTGAGTGACAATTAATAAAGGCCCACTCTACTCTTCAAGGGTGTGGATTCAACTCCAGGTCTTTCGGATGCCTTCCCATGTAGGATGGGCCTGGAAGGGGAAGCCCGCTTTCATTCAGGTAAACACATATTCTTTACTCATCGGCTCCCACTGGGAGGCCTATGTTATTAGCATCTTCATTTGGTGGATAAGGAAGCCGGGACTCAGAGAGGGTAAGTGGCCTGCCCAAGGTCACACAGCTCAGAAGAGCTGAGCTTTCCTGCCAGAGCGGAGCCCACTTCCTTCCTTGTAACTCTCGGGACTTGCAGACATTGGGCACTTCTTTTGTCGTTTGTTCCCTCTCATCTTTTCTGAATCCTCTCTCTGACTCCGCGTCGGCTCCCCGCCGGGTAAACCATGACTGTCAGGAGGTGCAGACTGCCAGCACTCTCTTCTTTTTCTCTCTGGGAAAGAAGCAGTGAGCCTCCGGTCGAGTTAGCAGCCTGTGTTCACCCGCCTCACCAGGAAGGTCTTCACAGCCTGGTGGGCCAGCCGCCCCGATAGGAGGACAGGGGGTAGCGTGTGGGACCCGACCCCGGGACCTTCGTCATCACCCCAACAAGGGCAGGCCAGTCAGAGAACGCGAGTGTAAGCCATCAGCCATCTCTGCTCACCCCAGGAGATGCCCATGTGGCTCCATTGTCCCCTCTCCTGGGACTGCCCACCTGCCTCCTTATCTGCGGCTGGCAGAAAAGAGGACTTTTTTAAACCAGGGCTAGCACCTTGATGAGGTGCGTTGGCCACCAGGGCCCATCAGTTTCCACGTTTCTTCCCCTCTCTGGAAGGTGGTGGGACTCGGGGAAGCCAGCATGGTGTGGGCGGTCTCCCCCGTGAGCCTGGGCATGGCCTGGAGAGAGATCATGGGTTTGGACTGGTGGGTACTCTCTTCTCTTGTTGAATGTCTTTGCGTGGACGTGGGTGTCTGCATGTGTCCCTGTAGGTATGTGTCTGTTTGTGAGTATGTGTACGTCTCTGTGTGTCTGAGTGTATGTGGGCGTCCTCATATGTGTGGTTTCTGTATATGTGCATCTGTGTGTGTGTATGTCTGTGTGCATCTGTGTGTGCGTGTGTCCCTGTGTGTGTTTTGTGTGCTGCAATCTCAGAGCTCTAATTCCTTTGGAACATCTTTTCAGTTCACAAAGATGGAGAAAAGTTTAGAGTTGCTCCCCTTCTTTACTGGAGAAGGCCCTCAATGTTAGAAGTATTTCTAGAACACACCATGTGGTCACCAAGCCCACAGAGGCGCCGGCCCAGAGGAATTCTGGGCGGAGGAGACCGACCATGGGATCCCCTGGTGGGTTGACTCTAAAGCGCTGGGACGGATCCCCGTGGCTCCACTAGGTGGCGCTAAGGCTGCATGCGCTGCCGCTTCAGCGTGGAGCCCAGACCCGATTCCTGCCTGTTCGCTTGCCTTCTAAACGTCCATGATTTCCTTGTCAAGGCATCGCGCATCTCTCTGGAATGTCTGAGGCCAGTTGTTAGGTCATCTTCAGCGTGCTGCGGCGGGCTCCCGCATGAACCAGGGCAGGCCTTGGAGAAAGATCTGGGGATTAAATCTGTGGGCATGCACTTCCCTTGTTAAATGTCTCTGTGTGTGTGTGTGTGTCTAAGTTTCGTGGGCTACAGGCTCAGAGCTCTGCTTCCCCGAAATCGTCCTTTTGGTTCACATTGATGGGGACAAGTTTGGAGGTGGTCCCCCAGGGAAGAGCCAACATTAGAAGCTCTGGGTCAGCAGATCTATGATGGCCCTGGGGCTTTGGGAGCATGAGAGTCATTGAAACCCGGAGCCTCCTGCAGATTCTGCCCTGGCTGTGACTCCCAGGACCCAGGCCCGGTCCCTTCCCAGTGTGTTAGAATCCCTCCATGCACGTGAGCTGTGTGTCCTACTGCATCACAGGATACAGCTGTCAGATGCTTGAGGAAGAACCAGAGTGGGCAGGGGTATGGGCTGAGGGCTGCAGTTATGTTTCCACATGAAAACAGAGAAGAATTTTCCTTCATGGATCCCCATGAGGAGCAGAGAGATGTGACCCCTGTTGTAACTGTGAGTTCTTCACAAAACGTGGTGTGTTCAGAATCTCAGCACCATTACACCCTGGGAAGGTTGGTTTGCTCTCTCTCCTTTGGTGGCTGATGTGACATGGAGACATCATTCCTTTGTAGTAAAACATCATTACGTTCAGAGCCAGAATCCCACTCTCTCTCACCAATAACCTGTTTCCAGATATTTGTGTTGTGAAAGACCCATTTATAATTTCTCTCCTTTTCAGAAAGAGTTCATAAAAACGGCTCGGATCTAATAAGGAAAAGATATGCGTGTGTGTTCTTAATGGAGTAGGCAGAGGAGAAGACTCAGATTGTCAGTTGCCCTGAAATGTCCTGGTATTTTAACATACTGTCCAGTCAGTCTGTCATTTGTTCATTCACAAATCATTTATTAAAGGAGATGAAGAAGGAAACCCACGTGAGTCGAGCACTTCTGGGGGGGGCCAGGAGCTCACTCCCTGCAGGTGGGGGGGGGGTGTGTCCCGGACGATGGGGCAGTCACCACCCTGGCGGCTCACAGCTGAGTGCAGCAGCACTTCTAAAAATGAGGCCGTGGACCCCCTGCCTCCAAATCGCCGTGTCTCCGTGTTAACAACATACGTTCCTGAGTGTGGCCCAGATTACTCTGCTTTTACTGCACACACTGCAGAAACACTGCCCTGGTGTTTGGGTCACCCGGTGGGTGACCCCACAAGTCAAGTGTGATGAGTGCTGTGAGAGAGAGTAGCCTTGGAAAACCCATGGTGGCGAACAGCTCTTAACACATCACGGCCTGTTCTCAGCGCGTTAGGTGTTAACTCACTCAATGCTACAACAATCGCTCCAGGTGGTTTCTGCAATCAGCCTCGTTTCCCAGATGAGGAAACTGAGGCACAGAGAGGTTCAGTAACTTGTGCGAGGTCACACAACTGGAGGGCTGAGTGGAGGTGGGACCCCTACCCCAGCCGGCCTGGCAGTGGAGTCCAGGATCTTAACCGCTGTGCTACGTACGCTGCGGCTGCTAAGAGGTAAGAAGGAAGGCCCTTAGTGACAGAGGGATAAACATAATCCTCTTAGAGAATCAGTTCTTTGAAGGTTTGGACTGAGTTATAAATTTAGAAACTAGGACTGCAGCTTGGAGATACTAGTCGAAGACCCAACGAAACCAGAGAGAAAGAATGATTTGGATGGAAGAGAGGAGAACAAAGATATGCAAGACTCTGATGAAGAAATGAGGAAGAACGTTTCTGGGAGAAGTAGCGCTGGGGTTCTAATTTGAAAGGATGCTGAGAGGACCCGCGAATCCCACGAGGGACCGAGTCAACGCAGCTCCCCCAAGAGAGGGCGCTGACATCTCCTGAAAGAGAACAGCTGTCGCTGCTTATTCTGAGGCTCCCCCGGAAGTCTTTAGGCTTCTATTTTGTTTCCATTGTTCCTTCAAAACACAGAAAACCTTAACTGGAATTCCCCACCTTGGGGAAAACACAACCCCCTAGGCTGATGTTACCCGGACCAGTCGGCTGGCCATCATCAAAGCTTCCTTAGGGCCAGCCCAGGGCCCCTTCTGCCTGGAACAAGGACCACTATCTGCAGGTATTAAGAAAGGGAACTCACTCCTGTTGAGTGGCTCCCAGGTGAGCAGTTGCACAGACCTCTAATCCTCTCAACAAGCCTCTGCTGGATATCAGGTTATTATTTTTTCTAATCCCCAATGCGTAGCCAAGAAATCAAGACTCTGAGAGTGGGGGTAGCTCGCCAAGCTGACAGCCTGTGCGTGGTGGTGCTGGCATGGAGACCCTGATGCTGTGCCAACTGCCTGTCCGCTGCGCCGCCCTGCCCCAAGGCTGCAGCAGGTGTCCGTGCCTGTGCGCCGCGCCGCCAGGGTGCTCTGACTATTACAGAAAGAAAAGAGGGTCAGTGCCAGGGGGGAACTGATTTTCTTAGTATTTGCTTTTCTCTTGAAGGTGGAAGCCAATCCGCTGAATTGAGGGTTTCAGTTAGTTGTGTGCAGGCGACCTCTGGGGTGTTCTGTACTTCCTGCTCCGGATTGCTGGGTGAGGCCTCACCGGTAATCCACGTAGCTTACAGGAACCGTGGAGAAGGCTTTCCTTTTTAGGAAGCAGAAGACAGACGGAACACGTCTCGTGTTTCAAGGTTCTGAAATTCCCCACCCTCTGGTCCTGCTTTACGTGATTGAAGCTTATATGTGGACAAAGGGAGAGAAGAAGAAAAGGTGTGTCCCGTGGCCGACTGAAATTAAGAGGCTAGGTCTAGCAATTCTCTCTCTCCCCCTCCCTTCCCCCCTCCCTCCATGCATCCTTTCCTCCCAACCAACCATCCTCCGTTCTTCCTTCTTTCTTCCCCGCTCCCCCATTACCTTCCCTCCCATTCTAGTCCAGATTCCCTCCTCTCCTCCACCCCCTCCCCTCCTCTTGCCCCCCCCCTTCTTTCTTTACCCTGGGGGTGGGGTGGGGGAGGACTGTTTACAGCCAGCGAGGAGGCAGAGACCAGAGCTTCTCGGATTTTAGTGTGCACACAAATAAACCACTTCAGGATCTTGTTAACGTACAGACTCTGAGTCGTGGGTCTGGGGTGAGCCCGAGATTCTGCATTTTCAGCAAGCTCCCAGATGCTGCTGCTGGGTGATGGCAAGGCACCTGGGAGTGTCACAGGATCAAGTGACCTGCGCTGACTGAGCCCACCTGCTGACTAACTGTGAGGAGGACTGGCCAGCACGACCAGCTGGTGGCACCAGGACAGCCGGCCCTGTGGCACCTCAAACCAGCTGCTCTGAAATTGGCAGCTTGGCAGCTTGGGTCTCCTTTGAGCTCAACAGGCTGATGTCTAGTTCTGGGAAGATGGTTCAAGACAAGTGGGAAGGGAGAGACAGGGAAGTGGCCGCCATCTTGTTGGGAACCCCCTCACTAGACGGTGGGGGAGAGGCAGTGTCCCTTTCAGCCTGGACACCGACTCAGCCCCACTAGCTTCAGATTCAGCCCATCTGAGAGGGCCGGACAACACTCCAGATGTGAGATTAGGGTTTCACAAAGTGTTGTGCAATGACAAAAGAAACCCCAGGCTGCATCTGCATTTCCCCAGCTGGGTCCTGGGCTGACCCGCCTCTTGACAAACTGCTCAAGTGATTTGACCTACACCGAAGTTGCAGAACCACCATCACCAAGGTCATCTCCCATTCTAGAAGTTTCTCTTCTCTGAGCTAGTCAAACTCTCTTCCCAACAGCATCTCAGGAGACTCACAGAAGGTGCTGCTGTGAGGGTGTTCGGGTTCCCTCAGACTCGTCTCCTCACTCTGGAGGAACTGGAGGCCAGGAAATTAAATCTTGGTCGCACAGCTGCCAAGTGTAGGGCCGAGACTAAGCCCACACATTTGGATTCCTAGTCTGGAGTACCTTCCTCCTAGCCACCTCCTGTTTCCCTCGCCCATGCCCCGCTGTTGCGCTCACTACTCCAGCCCGCGTCTCCTGTCTCCGAGCCCCGTTTCTAATCCACCTCTGTAATCCGTTCTTCATGCTGACAGCAGACTGAACTTTCTCCCCAGATCCTTTATTTTTTCCTGCCCCCACTCACACATTTTCTGTGGCTCCCAGCTGCTACCAAAACCCGCCCAAACTCCTCTCTTCTGAACATCCTCTGTGTTTTGCTATCAAGGCATTCCCCACACGGAACTCCATTCTGCGTCTTCCAGGCAGCCACCGTGGTAGCCACTCCATTTTCCTCCATTCTGGCGCCCTCAGATTGCTCATACTTGGAAAATCGTCTACCCAGAGCTCCTTAATCCTTTATTTCTTCCTGCCAAAGTCTTTCCCATCCTTCCAGGCCCAACATCAATATTCTGCCTCTCTGGGGACTTCGCTGAGAAGTAACCACTCCCTCCTCTGACTTCCCATGGTGTTCAGGGAATGGCTGTGTAGCTGGAAAGCTCTTTGTATTCAGGGGTGGAGCCTTGCTCATCTCTCCATGCCCGGAACCCAGCCCAGCGCCAGGCATCCTACATGTACAGGATACCTGTTAACAGGCTGAGAGGATGAATGAATTATCGAGCAGGTGACTATGTGTGAATGACTCATCCTGACCATTTGAGCTTCATGATCTCCAGGAATTTAGCATCTCCCACCGATTAATGAAAGTAGTTAGGTAGAATTCTTGAGTCTTTACCCCAAAATATACAAGCAAACATAACATGCCCTAAGTTATCTTTCTCCAAATAAATAGAGGGTAGCAGACACATGACACCACAAAGTGTAACCGCAAAGAGACACCAGGGAGAAAAAAGAAATTCTGATGGTCAACAACTAAAATGATGTGCATTTCAGAATTGTTACCATTACTTATTGGGTTAATTCAGAGCTATGGAAACTGTTCATGCTTTTACGCTATGAACTGTAGCTGCCCAAAACCATCTTCAAGGTCAAGTCAAACAATTTAGACTTTAGTTGACAGGTAATAGATTGACCTTATTAAAAGAGCATGAAATAAATCCTTCAAGGTTCACTGTGGGCAAACATCAGAGACCTGAGCTACGTTCTTCTCTGGGGAGTGTGGGCAGCAAATCAGAGGAAGTAGATTCTCTTATTTCCTCTCAAAGTCTAGCCAGGCTCCAGAAATCAGAGCCTTCCCACCTTCCCCAAGTCATAAATGCTTGCTCCAGCTACGGAATTACCCTGATCACCGACGCATAATGGTGTTTTCTTGGCTCTAGCCTTCTCCATCGGTTGTCCACCCTGCCCGCGGTCCCCAGGTAATTCGCAGACACTGTTCCGCTTTGCCTCCTGTAACTATAGCCAGAGACACGCGGGGCAGTGAAGAGAGTCATTATTTCCATCACTGTCCACAAACAATTTTCTTACTTAAACCACAACTCTCCGACCCTCCTCTTAGAAAACAGCCCAAACCGAGAATATGTTTTCTTAACAAACCTCAGTCAAATATCTTGGCTGGTCTGCCATTTTCTCTCAGTAGATTCCAGGAAACAGGGGTGCAGGGGTGCCTTATGAAGCCCCAACTGTGATATTCCGGATGTGAGCCTCTCATCCTGAAAAAGGGTAGCTACGGGTCAGGTGCATGGTTGCTTTTCTTTTTCTTCTTTCTCCTGGTACACACAAAAGTGTAAGTTTAGTTTTCTTTCTCTTTTCTTGTAAGAAAACTATTGTTTTTAAAAAACTGTGCTCATGAATTCTTTCTCCCTCTTGGGTGCAGATGGTGACAAACCGGGGAAACTTAGCTGCTTGTTTCTAATGCAGACAGTGGCAGAATCTTGAGGCATCTTAGCAAAGACACAGCACACTCCCTTGAGGGTTGCTGGTGCCCTGGACTGCAGAGAAGACAGAGATTTGTCTGTAGAAGGCTCCCTCTGCCCCAAAATGCCATCTCCAAATCAAGCATGGTTGTGCTCCCCAAGGTTTCATAAGCAGAGACACTTTCCCTCCTAGGATCTGGCGTTATCTAGAAATCTCTCTTTCCTTCAAGCCATCAGACTATGAAATCAGGGTCTCAGTTGCCCCATTTCCTGTCCTACTCTCAAGGTGAGAGGTCTCTGGTACCCTAGGCAGCAATAAAATGCGACTCAGTCCCCTGTTCTGTCACCTTGTGAGAGGCCACACATGGGATCCACCGCTTTCTAAGACTGGTTAAATTTTGGGAGCCTCAGCAAAGAAAACTCCTAAATGGAGGCAAAGCACCACCGCTGCTTCTTTCTCAAGAAAAGACTCCTCCGGGGTCCCAGAAGGTGCTGACATGTTCCCCGGAGGACCGACTGTGAGGAAAGAGGATTCATTGCAAAGGGAATTTCTCCATCCATTGTTCACGGGGAAAAAGTTACCTTTCAGTTTCTGGGATTCTCTTCAAATAAGCTCCTTTCCCTCCCCCCTCGCCTCTTGCTGTCACTAAGCAAACTTCATAGGTGGGGCTTCCTTTAAAGGAAGCAAGTGGCAAACATTGTTGTGGCTGAACAGGGACAAAACATCTTTGAGATGATGAGCAATCCTGTCTGGGAAGATATCTCAGAACCGTCCCCACGGCTCATGGCTGCTACTCTTGAAGACAGGCCACAGGATTAAACAAGTAAGGACAGGAGGTGTTGGGAGGGGATTCCTATGGTTCCATGGATCCAGGGTCTGAAACGAATAACAACCCAAGAGTGATCATCTACTATGATGGCCACTCGAGATAATCATTGCTACCATTGCTTGACTGCTGCATGTCAGGTTCTAGAACCATCTATCTCTTACGTATATTATCTCATTCCATCCTCTCAGCAACCATATTTTACAGATAGAAAAACTGAGATTTAGAAAGATGAACAAATTGTGCAAGAATGTAATCTTGCAACTCACAAATGGTAGGGCTTGGAATCTGTTATGCACCCAATTCTGTCCCCCCCCAAATTTGTATGTTGAAGTCTAACTCTCAGTGTGACTGTATGTGAAGAGAGGGTCTTGAAGGAGGTAATTAAGGTTAAATGAGGCCGTGGGTGTGGGGCCCTAACCCAATAGCATTAGTGTCCTTCTAAGAAGAGGAAGAGACACCAGGGATCTTTCTCCTTCTATGGTACACATAGAAAAGCGTCCATGTCAAGACACATTGAGAAGGCAGCTGTCTACAAGTGAGAAAGAGAGTCCTCACCAGAAACCAACTGTGGAAACACCTTGACTTTGGACTTCTGGCCTCTAGAACCATGAGAAAATAAATTTCTGTTGTTTAAGCCATCCAACCTTTGGAATTTTGTTATGGCAGTATGAGCAGACTAATACAGAATCTGGCTCAAAATCTACGTTCTTCAGCCTCCTGCATACTCACCTGTGCCCTCGTTATATAGATGCTTCCATGCTTGATAGGATGATCTGGTGCTGACATCCAGCTGATGAGGCATGGGAGATGCACTTGCCTCCAGAAAGAGACTTTAAGAGAGGTAACGGCCTCCACCCCTAAACATATTATGTTAAATAAATAAATATGCCAGATGGATCATAACCAAGCAGAAGGAGCTGCAATCTTGCAGGAGGATAGAACTATGTCCCTTTATAAGAATTTGATACGACCAAATATGTCACTACAGCACCTCAGTACTCTGTAGGTCCAAGTGGACTCACATTGTCCCCTGCCTCCTGCCTTAGCTCAAGAACACAGCAACCGTGGTTATCCTCCAGTGTCCCACATCTCAGTGAGTGTCATCCCTTCTGTCACTTCCTCACCAACCTATCCCTGAGACCATCTCCCCCACATCCCTATGACTAATCTATAACTGAATTCTATCTTGTCTTTTAGTCTCCTACGTATCTTCAAAATACATCCACTTCTCCTGAGCTCCATTGCTGCCACCCAACTTAGATTACCGAAATAGCTGCCCATCTGGTCTACCCATAATACAGTTTTGGGTAGTTGTTAAATGTGTGGCTTTGCAGCCAGATGGCCTGGTTGGAGTTCTGGTTACTTATTCTCTCTTTGTTTTAGTTTCTTTGTGGTTAAAATGAGGATCATAATGGTACGTGTTTCGTTGGGTACCTGTACTTCATGTAAACACTTATAAGTGTGCCGGGCACATAGGACATCAATCAGTGCTGGCTGTCACCAACATTGCCCATTCTGGTCTCCCTCCTTCCTGTCCTTCCCTCTGCAGCCACAACAGTCATCTGAAAGCTCTCCTTAAGGGCCTTCTATGGACCCCCACTGCACTCAGGATGAAGAGAAAAGTGTTTAACTCACCCACCAGGAACTATTCCATGTGGTCCCCACCCACCCCTACAGCCCCATCCCAGCACTCACTCCCCAGCTTCTCCGGGCTTTGCCTCATGCTTCCAGGACTCGTGCTCCCTGCTGCCTTCCCCACAGGGACTTCTTTGCACTTGCATTCTCTCAGATTTAGGAATCACCTTTCCCCTTCTTTGTGAACATATCTCCTACCCGTTATTTATTTTTGTTCCAGCATCGCTTCCTCAGGAGGCTATCTGTGACTCCTCTTACTTGGCTCATATCCTGGTGGGATGTTTTATTTGTTTGGGGTTTTTTTGAGTTAAAGTCCATGACCCCCGTGTGAGTACCACGAGGGACCACGATGCCTGGCACGTAGCATGTACTCAGTATTATCTACTGTATGTGACAACACACTCTCCTCTCCCATCCCTTTTAGCCCCTAACTCTTCTCTGCAGCTGCCCTGGTGGCCCGGGGATTGAAGGACGGAGTTGAAACTCTTCCTTCCAGGCTGTTGTTTTCAAGCACCTACTGGCTTTCCAAGCCTTGTTTGGAGAGGAGAGAAGTGGTCACGAGGCAGACAGAGTTTTATGGCTTCCTGTGCACATTCAAGTCCATTATCTTAATGGACCCTCACAATGACTCAGCCCTCAGATAAGATCGTTATCCTCTGCTTTTGCCAATGGGTAAAGGGAGGCCCTGACAGGTTGAATTATCCAAGATCACAGAGCAGTGAGTGACAGAGGAGGATGAGAACAAGGCGGTAGGAACTTGACTTCTGTGTCCTTTCCACTGTGCCCCGGTGTCTGGCGGCAGCAGAAACCCAGACAGAGAAAGGTGATGACAGGACAAAAGAAGGCACGTGTGTCTCTTGTCCTTCTCATTCTCCTCTTTGTCTTGGAGAATTCCTTCTGTTCTATTTCCTAGTTATCACAAGTTGGGTTTTCTGAGGGCAGACTCTGAGATGGAGTTTAGGGTCTAAGGTGTGTGTTAAGAGTGCCCATGAGACGGACCCCAGTGGAAGGGAGAAGAAGGAAGACATGAGTGGGAAGAGGAAGAGGCTGAACTGTGGTGCAGGGGTGACAGACTCAGCTGACACCGTGGGGAGCTTGGGAGCTGAAATGGCCAAACACTGGGCCTTTATAGCCTTCCTCCATCTGTCACTGTTTGTGGGCCACCCTGGTCAGGCATCTCTGTAACTGAGGCCTTCCAAGAAGGGGCTGCTAGCCCTCCCCGCAGCTGGAGCAGAACGTCCTTCATCGAAGGGGAATCTGGACAGAGCATCTTCGTGTCTACTGAGCTCATCCTGGCTTCCTGCTTTCTCTGCCTAATTTATGGTTCCACCCTTTCTCTTTATTCAGTCACTGATCTGTCTGGAAAGAAGTTTCCTGAGTGACTCTCTCGTGATCTGTGGCCTGATGAGGTACACGCATGGCTATTCATCTGAGTGTGTGGGATTCTTGGTCTGCCATACCTGACACTAGGGTGATTGTGTGGCCTAAGTAGTTAAAAACAAATCAAGAGTAAGGCAAAAGGAACTTACCCTTCCTTTTTCACTACACTTTGTAATTTTTGACCCATTGTTGCTATTCCTATAAGGATCATTTCTATAAAACCAAATGATGACATAATGAGTATCCTTGCAAAGGCCCAGTGACCGTAGCACCCATGGCCCGTGGACCTTGCTTCTGTTCGGGACGTTGCCTTTTTCAGACAGCCTCCACATGTGCTTGATTTCTCATATCAAGGAAGGCCCAGCAGATAGCAACCCCTTCCTGAACTCAAGAGGACGTGGAGAGGTGGGTACCATGCTCAAGGCCGTGGTGCCAGCTCATGGGAGAGCCAGGAGGAAACCCCGGGTCTCTCAACACTCAGATCTTTTCGCTCTCCTAGTTTTAGAAGTCAAAGGGAGAATATCCTTTTGTGTGATGGCTTAAGTTGTGCAAGTATCTAGATTCCTTTTATTGTCCAATTAGATTATTCAGGCTGTAAAACTTGAGATAATTTGCTTTCTTTTTGGTGTCAGAAGGGCATGAATCCAGTTTTTGCCACATTGCCACATCCAGAGAACCTCAAGGGAGACAGAAAGTGTAGACACCAGCAGAAGTGAGCATGCAGCTCAGTGGATGTTTATTTAATGTACTATCATTATAATAATAACAATAATTATAATAATAATAGTAATTACTATTCTGTTTTTTTTTTTTTGGCCTCTCTGGAAAGATGGGCTCTAGTTCCAAATCAAGCGTAGGTTTAAGTTGGCTCTTATTTTTTCCCACTCACTCTCTGCCGCCCTGCACTCCATAACTGGGAGGATGTCCATAAATCTGTGCTACAGTCTGTGGTTTTCAGACAGTCTGAAGATGACTTCGACTGGACTAGAGATTGATTTTAATTTTCCGCAAGTCAACACAGGCTCACATCAGCTCCACAACCAGGCAAATCCTGTGACTTGAGGCTGCTCTTTTTGTCCCTTCCCTTCCTTTCCGGTTAGCGGGCTCCTAATCACTCTTGGCGTCTGGACCTAGTCTCTTGCTGTGGGACCCGCACCAGTGGATACCACTCAACCAAAGTGACCCTGAGACGGACTCAACGTAAACATGGTCCCTCGTGAGTCAAGCATCTGGGATAAGAGAGCAAACACGGGACTGAAAACCCGGAACTGGGTATTGTTTAAGAACTATCACCTGCTCCTTGGCTCTCTCTGTAGTCCGGCTGGCTGGGTTGTGGAATGCACGCCTGGTCCAGAACCACACAAAGGCCAACCTTTTATCAACACTCAACAGCCAAGTAAACACTTGATTCGCTTACTTTTTCCTGGCCTCGCTCTCCTTGATAACAGAGGAAGTGTTCTGGGAAGACAGAGTGATGGCAGTGTCAGCAGAAATAACTGTTGTGGTGTCATTGTGGTAGGTCTCATGCTTGCCAGAGCTTCACCCACTGCGGGGCCGTTGTCATGGATGGGAAAAGGCATTTCTCACGCAAGTCAACTGTGGCCTTTTTACCATGGGCAGCTGCTGTGTTTGACTTTCTTGAGGTTGAGGAAGGGACAATTTGATTACTATGAGGTGGGAAAGACTGAACGGAAGGACTGGTTCACAGTCTGAGTTGTCGAGACGGTCAGATTAAAGGAGCGGGTTCGTTCCTCTTCACACGATCCCTGCATTCTCAGAAGGCCTACTTAGCTCTAGTCTACAGTAATGCTTTGTGAGCATTTATGAGGTCAGCATCTCCAGAAGAAATGCCAGGCGAAAACTCTGTAGTTACAAATAAGATTGTAAATATGTTCATGACAATGTATTATAGTAGACGGCCTGGGTGCTTCACAGAGAGCTTTTAATCCTAAATTTTGCTTCTATTTTATCATTTTGGGGAAGTGATGAGGCTGAGGTGGGGAAAATGAAAAGGAACTTGAGAAGATGGTTGTGGAGAGATGTTCCCTCCCAGCCAGCTCAGGAAGTCCTGGGCTGAACCTCTCCATATACTCCTGATCACACTTGGAGATCAACGAAGGGAGTAAGATAGTAGAAGAGACCCAACCTGTTGTAGAAGCTGGTAAGAGAGAGTGAGATAGTTAATGAGTCACTTCTTTGGAGATACAACGCTGGTAGTAAGGAGCTGAGGCCTTTTCCCAGGAAAAGAGACCTGACGACATCTGCTATTGGAGATATTCTGAGACTGGCCTATCAGAAAGTGGGGAGCAAATCAAGGAGAGAACTTAGGATGAATACAACTTCATCCTTTTATGATCCTAGTAGAAACAGGTTCACCCAGCAGAGTGTAGAACTTTCCAATCCTTCTGATCTGCCCGACTCCAATTAGAAGAGGGTCTTCTATTAGAAGCTTTGGCGAGCATGAGAGAGTGGGCTCACAAGGAGCAGACGTGAGTTGGATGAGGGTGATCGCGGTATCTTGTTGGGGTGGTGAGGAAGCCCTGCAAAGATGTCTTCACAAGCTCTGGAAAGTTAGGGCAAAAGGGGTAACAATCAATGGTTCCCCCTGTTTTATGGAATGAAATCCCAACAAATGGCCTTTCAGATCGAAGTGGTTGTTTACTCTCTCCATATTTCTTTAGCACTTATTAGGTGTCAGCAGTGATCTAGGCATTGGGGATAAAATAATGCATAAGAGAGGAATGTCCTGCCCTCGCTGAGCTGAAGTATTCTTCTGTGGACAGCACTTAATTGACGACATGGTTACCACAGACAATGGTGTTTGTTTTTCTGGAACCCTACTAAGCTTCACACCTTTTTGGTGGAGAACATAGGAGGTCTGAGCGAGAGACTTCTCATGCTTAACTACTTGAATAACCTCAAGGGTCCAGATACAAGGGTGAAGACTCCACATCAGAAATGTCCATGTAAGCCCTCTGAGCTCTCCAAGGCTGAAACTCGACTTTGCTTAACGACAGGGACATGTTCTGAGAAATGTGTCATTAGGCGATTTTGTCATTGTGGGAACATCATAGAGTGCACTTACACAAACCTAGATGGTATAACCTACTACACACCTAGGCCGTATGGTGTCAGCCTACGGGACCACCGTTGCATATGTGCTCCATCCTTGACATCATTGAGCAGCACATGACTGTATTAAAAGAATGTGAACTCTTGATCACTCCAGGGCACCTCAGGCTCTACCAGGGGTGTGTTTGGAGCAGCAGTGACTGTTGACGACTTCATGTCTCTGTCCTTGCCTGGGGCTTGTTGCCTTTGGCCC